GGTCTGTAGTTCTTCAAGAGAGCGTTATCACCTTTCTTGAAGAACAAGACCACCGCACTTCTGCTCCACGCCTCCGGTGTAATGCCACCATGAAGGACGGAATTAAAGAGCTTCTGAAGGACTTCAAGTACCGGTCTTCCACCCGCTTTCAGAAGCTCCGCTGTAATTCCATCCTCGCCTGGGGCCTTACCGTTTTTAAGGTGCTGGAGAGCCATTCTAATCTCGCTCAGACTGACGTCCGGGATATCTTCGGAATAGTGTCGGATGAGACTCGCTCTTGGATCGTTACTCACACTTGCGTGTGGCTCCAACGATGACGTGTACAGCTGCCCATAGAACCTCTCAATCTCACTCAAAATCTCAGGTGTCCCGGAAACGATGCTGCTACACTCTGTCTTCAGCTTTGACAGGTGGCTCTTTCTGGCAGACAGATCCCTGGCAAAGACTTTGGAGCCTTGGTTCCGCTCGATCGCTTCTTCAATACGAGATGTATTGAAGTTGCGTAAGTCCCGCCGCATGCATTTGGAGATCTGTCTGTTCAGATGCCTGTATGCTGTCAAGTCTGTTGAAGAATGTAGCTTCATCTCCCGTCTAACAGCCATGAGATTAAGAGTGTGATCGGAGAGTTTTTGTGTTCTTCTGCGGCGGGTCTTGCAGAACATAGCTCCGACCGCATGGACAGTTTCCACGAGCTTGTCATTCATATCGTCCACTTCATTGCAGTCTTCTAGGCACTGAAAACGGTTTTGTAACTCGAGCTGAAAGGTTTCGGGACTTTGGAACAGAGCACGAGGGGGACGGAGCGTTGACTTCATTAGACGAGACCTCTCCAACTTAACGTTTAGGTTCAGTGTGCCTCTAACCATTCGGTGATCGCTACCAGTTTTCACCCTCGCGATCACGGAGACATCACTGAACAGTTGTCGTCTGGTCGTCATAATGAAGTCAATCTCATTTTTTGTCGAACCGTCGGGGCTCGACCAGGTCCACTTCCTGTGGGGTCGCTTCTGGAAGAAAGAGTTCATCATAAAGAGTCCCTCTTTCTCCATGAAGTCGGCCAGCTGCTGGCCCCTTGGGTTCCGTTGCCCTATTCCAAATTTCCCTACTTTCAGCTCACCGTTCTCTCTTGTGCCTAGTTTTGCATTGAAGTCTCCCATTAACACCGTATATTGGGTTTTGGAGGAATGCATGGCTCTAGAGATATCCTCATACATTTCCTCCACCTCCTCATCGGGGTGTGCCGAGGTTGGTGCGTAAACCCGTATGACCTTCAGCGAATACCGTTTGGTGATTCTGAGTATAAGGTACGCAACCCTCGTCAACACACTCCCGATCTTTACAACGTTGTTAACGAGAGACTTGCGGACGATAAATCCGACACCTCCTTGGGACAGATGGTCGCCCTCCCGGTGATATAGCAAGTTGCCGGATTCGAGGATTACCGTGTCCTCCCCCTCTCTTCGGACTTCGGATAATCCTATAATATGCCAGCGCAACTTGTCTATCTCTTCTTCCAGCTCCACGATCTTCTCGTCAGTCCTCAGGGTGCGTGCGTTGTACGTTGCCAGGTCGAGTCGTCTAAGGTGGCAACCGAACCTCCACCGGAGATTCTTAGCACCCCCTGCCCCGCCGTTACCATGGTCGCCACCGTAGCCAGGAATAGCGGGGCCGCCGGGGACTGGGGGCCGTCTCTTTGTTACATTCATAGGGGGTATTTGCCATAGTTGCCACGCTTGGCGAGCGGGTTGGCAACCGCAGTTTTTTATTGTAATTTTGGCTATTATCAGGAAGATGCTCCTGCCTGTTTCCCTTTGTCGCCTTTTACGACACCCACGGGAGGATATGGGGTAGTGGATATTCTTGACCGCCACTACACGACTTGTGATAGGCAGTAATAATAACCACGATGAACAATTAATATTTTTATCCTTAATAATATTATAACATTATTGTATTTTCATTATTAAGTCTCCTAATTATACACGAACAGGTTATAAATAATCCCTTAATTAAACAAATACTCACCTCTAGACTTAACCTAATCCTGGGGGAACATGGATAATCTTGCGATTTAAGTAAAACAAAGTTAGGGATCACGCTAGTTAATGTATATTAGAAGTATAGTTGTAGCACGAATGGGTCCGCTCGGCCGGGAAGGACCACGCTCTCACAGAATACCAGCGCAAAACAGCAGGTTAATAAATAATAAATAAATAAAAATAAAAATGTTTTATTTTTCATCGTAGGCCCATAACGTGTTAGTAATAGAAAATAAAACTTAAGAACTAATGTTAGTAAATAAAACAAGACAGAAATATATGAATAATTTGGGGGTTTTATCAAGCTCCATTTAATAAATGTAGCTTAACAAACCTACCCAGTGTCGGGCCATCTAGGCGTTCCGCAAAGACCCTCAAGACACTATTCGAGCTTTTCCTCACTCTGTGCATCAATTATCCCACTTTTTTACGCATGATCGCAAAATAATCATCAGTATGGGCATCGGCGAACATGCCTGATGCACTACAATAAGGTGGAAGCCCCAACAGTAACCTGAAGACATTGTTATATTGGATACGCAGGGTATTTCCTGCGCTTTGGGTATGATTGGCCCAAAGGCTGCTGGTGTAAAATGATTGGCAGAAAGCCTTAAAAGTGTAATTTTAACTGGTACAGAGCAAGCAGCAAACCTTCGAGCCACCATGTTACCTCTCACAGCTAGCGCTCTGCGTTCCCTTTCGATATCTAGGTCATCCTTTAAGTCTTCTGTCACAATATGAACCAGATATTTAAATTGGGTTACTCTCTGTAAAAGTGAACCGTTAAGCTTTACTGGAGGGACATATGTTGGACTTTTATTTCTACCTCTGAAAACCAACAGTTCACTTTTATCAGCATTATATTTCAATCCATGTTGATCAGCGTAATCCTCACAAATGGCAATCAACATTCGCATTCCACATATAGACGGGCTCAGCAGCACCATATCGTCTGCGTAGCTCAAGTTGTTTAGACTTACTCCGTCTATATGGCAACCAACATGTGTGCTGCTAAGCTTGTCAATCAGTTTATTAATATAGATATTAAAAAGCCTCGGAGAGGTAAAACCTCCCTGCCTCACACCGCACTCAAGTTTATAAGGGTCAGACAATGCATTTGACCACCTTACAAAGTTTCTTTGCTTGTCATACCACATAGATAACGTAGACACTAATGAAGCAGGAACTCCCGCCTCCCAAAGCTTATCCCACAGAACATTGTAGGAAACCAGGTCAAAGGCTTTTGAAAGGTCCAGAAAACAAGCATACACAGGTGTTTTTCTGTCAGTGTAATATTTGACAGTGTGCTTCAATGCAAAAATAGCACTTTTGCAATTTGCTATTTTTGCAATGCAAAAATAGCAAATTTGATAACTGTGATACCAATAGAGATAATTATAAAAAAATTCGGAATCACTGCAACAGGTTGTGTAGAGATAAACAACGAAGCTATATTCATAAATCTATACTCGATGAAGATAATTCCGGCAGAGTATGGAAATTTCTTAAGTCTCTTGGAGTTGGGCAAGCGAGTCAAAATAGTAGCCCCAAAAATATTGACTTAAACCAGCTAAATCAGCATTTCTCTTCTTCTTGTGCCATAGATGAGGTCACAAAAATACAAACTAAAACTCAAATTTTAGCTTTATCCAAATCTGACAATCCTGCGTTTATTTTTAGGCCCAAAACATCAAACGTTTATTTTTAGGCCCAAAACATCAAACAAACGTGCGACAGAGGACAAAATGTTTCTCTTAGTGCAAGGGCGATCATCTGAAATTACCTCGAAGGCAAACTCATCATCACGAGGACGCCAGTAAAGACCTAATATTTTCAAGGTATCGTCCTTGTGAAATTTTTGCAACAAGCGATAATCTTCAGGAATATGTTCAAGTACCCTTGTGATATTGCTACTCCATATACCTATAGGAAAACGGTGACCCTCATCCTGTACTAGTTGCGAGACAGTGCGAAGAGCTAAAAATGGGCTACACTTTAGTCCAAAGGCTACTCTATTGAATTCCAATGATTTTATTGGATTTTGAATATCTGAACCACCTCCTAAATTGTCATCCCGACTGAAGCGATATAAGATACGCTGAAAATACGTCTATCCTGCTTACGGACGCCTATCCTAAGATACATCTGCCTTACATCGGCTGTGATGGCAACAGGTAATAGTCTCATATTAATTAAGATTGTAAAAAGGTCGCGTCGAAGATTGGGACCGGCATATAAAAGATCATTTAAGGAAAATTCGCTACTAGACTTAGCACTTGCATCCAGGACAGGTCGGATCCGTGTTGATAATTTATCTTCCCTAAGAACAGCGTGGTGTGGCATGTAAAAGTGTAGAGGATCTTTATCGGCTGTATCAATAGGAGACAAATAACCTTGATCTATATAATCCTTGATTACACTATCATACGCCTCTCTTAGAGCAGACTGAGCAGTAAACCGACGCTCTAAATGCAAAAGCCTACGCCTAGAAACTTCCAAAGAATTACCAAGAAAATCTGGACTGAATTTGAAAGGTAAAGCTGCTTTGTAGCGTCCAGAAGCAGCACGCGTGACAGTCTTGCTATAATTTTCTTCGTATGTTTTATCATCAGCACTAAAGATATGCTTAGGATCAATTTCGTCTAGTTCCCACATTTTATTAACTAGAGTCTCGACCTCAGATGTTGAAATAGCATGAAAAGCTACGACGGCTGGGGCTTGAGCCTGGATAACCGCTGGAGCATCTCCTAGAACGATGTATCCTAAAACGGTCTCAAGCGCATCCGGAGAACCGGTTTCCCCGATAATTTTACCAGGTCGTAGCATCTCCGCAAAAAGACTTACACCGATTAATAAATCTATTTCTCCTGGCATACCCCAGCCATCGTCCGCCATGGAAATACTACGGAGATTTTCAAGGAATCTAGTATCGATATTACACGTTGGTAAATTACTAGTGATTCAATTTAACACTAGAGCCTGAGTATTAAATCTTGTATTATTGAATCGAGATCGAAAAGAAATATTTGCCGCCCCCTTGACTATCTGTGATGAGCCACCTATTCTCTTCACCGTTACAGGTGAATTAGTTTTGATCTTTAGCTGTAGTTTTGAACAACATTTTGTTGTTATATAATGTTTCTGGGAACCAGGATCCAGTAAACATCTAACTATTGCATCGCGACCATTGCGACCGGTGGCATAAACCTTTGCGGTTGCGAGAACTTGCGTTGTTGATGATGAATCACATTTTGTATAAGACAACGAGCAATACGATACTTCTGGATTTTCTTCTGCAACCAAATAACCGTCACGCACTTGATCGGAAGAAGATTCTTCTTCAAGTTCTAGTGAGTTCAGTATTTCACTAGTATCATGTTCCTCGTTCACGGCTACAGTGGCGGTGCACGACTGCGCTGCAAATGGTTCATTTCCAAAATGAAGCAACGTGTGATGCCTGGCATTACACTTGCGACAAGAAGTGTTTGAGTTGCAATAAAAGTTGCAATGCAAGGTATGTTGGTTACTCAAATAATTAACACAGTAACGATTGTCCTTAACGAATTTAAATTTGTCGGCAGCCGAAAGGTTAGCAAAAAGTTTACATGCATAGAGGTGCGTATGCGCCGTGTTGTTGCAAAGCTTACATGGCCAAGTACGACCTTGCTGCGTGGAAACTAAGACGCGTGGCGGCACGGTTAAAGCCCGTGAGCTAGATGGGCGACTACCCGAGTTGGGATGCGGTGCCATGGAACTGCCACGAGTTTGTGATGAAGTGCTGGTTCGATACCAAATTATTACCTGTTCTCGTAAGAACTTAACAAAATCGTCGTATTTAGGCATGTCCGTTTGACTACGAACAGTTGTTTCGAAACACTTCGCAGTATCGGAATCTACAAGCTTTAGGCCCATGTAAACAAAAATAAAGTCACTTAAATTATCTATATTAAGTTGTTTGAGTGCTGCGATCGTGGCCACGTATTTATCTACCAAATTTTCTAAATTTATTGCAGAGGGACCGTTAATATTCTTTAATGCAAATAACTGATTTAGATATGTCGTAGCTAAAGCTCTGTTATCCTTGTATTTGTTTTGTAAAGTTTGCCAAATAATTACGTAATTATCTGCTGCCGGGACTATACCAGCACATATATGTTTTGCCTTTCCGGAAAGGTGGCTTATTAAATAATGAATACGTTCTGAATCCGTTAACGTTTTATTTTCGTCTATAACACGTTTAAACGGTTCGTAAAAATAAGGAAAGTTTTGTAATTCACCATCGAAAATAAGCAATTCAATGCGAGGAATCTTAATAGTATGTTCCTGAGTAATTGCATGTGTGACGGCTTGCGATTGTGGGTTTGGTCTCTCCATACTATTCAGGATATCCTTAATAAAATAATATAAGTCGTCAAACGCTGATAACGGCTGGTAATTAATACTATAATCGGGATCTACTTCCAAATTTAATAAATTTATATCATCAACCAAAGTTACAAACTCTTTACGTAATTGATCGACGGCGCGAGCTTGTGATAAGAAATTATGCCGTGATTTTTCATCTGTTTTCGATGATAGTTGAAAGGTCTTATTTATTTGAGAGAAATACAATTGACGCTTAGCTTCTAACAATTTAATTTGCATAAGGCGTCTATCTTTTCCTGCATCCTTTTCCGTCATTGTAAATATATTTATTAGAACACGATTATATTACCCCAAAGTGAGTAAAATTATCCTTGTTTTTACGAATTAAATGTAAACTAATTTTCACGCGTGATTGAAGAAATATAAATGAGCAGGTTAGTTAATAAGTATTTAAGTAATTTAACTGTATTTATAGTATACAAAGTTTGCGAACTCCACTAGAATGATTAAGATATGATAAGATATGATAATAATATGTAAGTAAATTAAATGCGACAGCTGTCTTAAAGTCGATGCGATTAATAAGAATATTTCTTAGTAATAAACATATAAAATCGATCTTGTAAACGGCTGTATGCGATGCGGAAAATACTTCAATATTAAGTAATATTTACAAGTCGATAACTAACAGTATAAAAATAGTCGACATCAACCCAAGTATGCCACAATAAGGTTCAGTATCAATTACGTCGAAGAGTCGAATCACAATCGGATTTACCTATTTAATAGTTCCAATCCAATTGTCATCCAGCTCGAAGGACCATTTTTTGGTGGAAAATGGGAAATGGACTGTAATTAGCATTGAGGCTGGCTGATTCTACTGTTGACTAGACAATATTACTAAGGTCGGACGTACCTGAATATACGAAGGCGGATGCTCCTGCTCTCGTGTGCTTCTTCGGGGATCCCAGTCACTCACGATTATCCAGTTCGAGGAAGAACTTGCGGCAGAACATATATTAGGGAGCAGCGAAAAAACGTGTCTTTTCTCACGACGCGCGGCGTTGACAGTATGTCGATCACGTGACGGAAAGATGTCCATAGTTTTAACGGACCAATAGTACATCCAAACCAATAGTACATCAAAACAAATAAATAAACAAAGAAATTTCGGCTGTTTATTAAACTAGCCGAACCACCCTATACTATAAAAAAAACATATTATTACAGCATGCGCCATGTAACTATCATTATAAAAATATTAATTTGTAATATAAAATTAAGAAATTTAAAAATAAGAAAATGAATGTTTTTATTGTTATACATTATAATGAAAATAAATTTAAATAAAATTGTTTATTTCTGAAAGCTAGAGGGTATGTTTCAATTCTTTAACATATAAAACATAAAAATAAAAATGAACAAAACTGCACATTTCCAAATTAATAAAACTGCCAATTACTCCAAAGAAATGCTAGCAAATATCAGCATACTGTACATGGGTCTCTGCCAATGTGGTGAGAATTTACCTTAACACTGAAGCGACAACTTGACGACCACAGTACCAGATGTCTGGCACCCTTGACACTATTGGCCGTCGCATCACCATCATCGTTGTACAATTCACTAAAAGCAACCATTTTCACGTGTCTACTTACACCATTAGATTTTGTGAATTGACCATTAGAGAGGCTCGAGAGAGTTATATGGGACGGGACAGCATGTTTATGCATGACGACTCTTGTACTATAGTGACCTGTGTGGCAAACTTTGATTCTGTTTTTGGTATGCATGCCGCATGCCCCGTCTCGCTGCACGCTCGGACTAACGGCCACTCAGACCTAACAGTACGTTGTAGAGCAAAGTGAGCGCGTGACTGCAATCACTAATCCACCGCCAACTATTGCAATTATCTTCTACGAGAAAGGTCCAGTCAAAACAATAAAGCTAAGTACGAAAAGTTCATAATTTATGTTTTTGTTGACCTTAGTAGACTGCTTAATTGACGATAAATGGATTTGTAGCATTAAACACGATTTGCTACTTAATCCTATTGTTATCATATAAGCAATCATCACATGAATACGAGTACCCAGTAATACAAGAACATTAACTTTTTACATTATATTACGAAATGTTATTTATCGTTATTATTGCAATATAATCGTCTTGTACCTCTATTATTTAATACATTTTGAATATTTTAAGCACAGTTTTAATAAATTTAAAGGTTTTAAAGAAAATATTAAGTTATATTATTATTAACATAGCTTATATGTTGTATAATATTAAGTATTATAGTATACTATAAGTACACTATAATACTTAATATTCGAAATGAATATTTTTAAACTTTATGCTTATTAACGCTTTTTAATTGTTCAAATTATTATATATATGATATTTTTAAATGACTATATATTTTATTTATTAATAATAATGATAATAATAATGAACCGTCACAAACATTGGTTGGTGTCGTTGGTGATAGCACGCAGCCTTGTGGAACACCAGCGTTAATAGGCTTGTAATCAAAGCATGCATCATTTACTAAGACTTTGATGTTTCGATCACCAAGAAAACTGCTGATATAATTGCACAATTTCTCGGGAATCCCATAGGAGGGAGTTCCGAAAGAAGCACTTTGTGCCAGACCCGCTCGAAGCCTTTCACTTTGTCCAAATTAACGGTCAATGCCTCCCCCTTGGATTCTACTGTCTCCACCCATCTATGAGTCGATCGACCCCGACAAAAACCGTATTGGCAGTCACTAATCAGCTGATGATCCTCAAGGTACCTCATGAGCTGGCAGTTAATAATGGACTCCATTATTTTGGAGAACAAGAAGGTTATGGCGATAGGCTTGTTGTTGGACGCGTCTGGGTAGTCGCCTTTTTTAGGGATCGGGTGGACCAAAGCTGTCTTACATGAACTTCGAACTACGCCTTGGGAGTAGCAGTACCGGAAAAGATGCATTAAAACCGGTTCCAACTTCTTAGCTCATATCTTAAGCACAATGTGACTCCATCAGGCCCACTCAACTTGCTGACGTCCAGGGAGAAGAGTGCTTTGCGCTGTGTGAACTGCACATCCGGCATGGAGTTACATCGCGGAATGGTCGGCGGTGTGTTCCCCCGTCATATAGAGTCGAGTTGGACGCCAAGCGAGAGCCTAACAGATCGGCTTTATCCTTTCCGGCATGAGCCAGTGAGTTGTCCTCTCTGTGCAGAGATGGAAGAGATGGCTGACAGAAGTTGCCTTGGACAGGAAGGCAGGCGAACTAGCTTCTTACCAATTCTGCCGATGTGCTGAGATATTGTTTTGGCAATGACTCTTTTTAAGAACCTGGAGGCGGTATTATATTTCTAGTGAGCTAGTGTTTACATCCCGAGACGTTTATGCGTCAGCACAGGCCTGGCAGCGCTCCTACTTAATCGTGATGCTATTATACAGAAGCGATCAAACCATGGCTGGGATCTGCCTCCGATGGGCACCACAGAGGATAGAATAAAAAGTGCCATATCCTTCAGAGTATGGAACTTTTATTCTGTTGTTCTGTTGTCGCTGATAACGTACTTAAGATGTTATTCTGCTGAAATACTTCAGTACTTCAGCAGCGACAGAATCAGCAACAACGCTGGGATCGTCCGGCGAGAAGTAAACCCGCCCCCAAAGGTAGAATGCAAAAAAGACCGCATCCTATCCCAATTGCCCGAATTATTGTGCCAAATACGACGGCAGCCTGCAGAATACAACTGCAACGTAGTGTGAGTGGCACCATACTTCGGACAAGGCAATGATCCAACGAGCCAAGAAGGGAGTCGACGGAAACCTGATATCCGTCCTGATGAGAGGTCAGTAGAGGGTAAAACAGGGAAGATGCATGATCCTCCACATCCGGAATCCGCGTAGGCGAAGTAACCAGCTGTGTAAGGCATTATGACAAGCCAAAGTCGTAAACAGATCGCCCTGCATGATCGGTTAAACGTCTACCGAGCCATTCGGCATGGTGGGCGTTAAAGTCGCCAAGGATCACGATTTCTGTGGATGGGATCTGCTGTAGCAAGGAATCTGTAGCCATTTGGACGTGATCGATGAGTCGGTCTGTTTCGGAATTACTGCTATGGGACCTATAGAGGCACCCGTAGAAGCGGGGATGGTCGTCGCTGTTTACGCGCAGCCATAGGATGGACAGATCCGTACCTTCAAGACTGTCGAGGCGTCGAAAACAGACATCCTCTCCGACGTTTACGTAAACTCCAACCCGGGGCACAAAGGAGTGTTCCCCTCGGGTAGGAGAGATATGAAGTATCATCCGGGGGGGTCATCTGAGGCTCGTTTAAAAAGAGCAAGGCAGGCTTCGCTGTCTCCTGATGGTATTGGACAGCGTTAAGATTGGAATGACATCCCCTGATGTAGCAAAAATTCACGGATAGCGTGACAAGGGTCGCCTTTGTCTTATTGCTCCGCTTTAGTCAAGCAGTTTTAGTCGCGAGGGTAGTACCAGAATACCAACGTAAAATAGCAGCTTAACGCTGTTATTTTTTGTATGATGAGTGTAGAGAACCGGAGACCCTTTTTACTGGAAAAGAGGCATTCCATCTTAATCCTCACGGGTGACAACGCATCTGCATTTTGATTCTTTATTGAGGATAGATGTAGATGTCTATGGGTCACAGTAACCACTTACCATCAGGTTGACTGTGTTCTCGTTTGTTACCCGATTCTATAAAAAAATTTCACCCCCCTACCCTCCCCCAGAATACGTGGGGCAGCCTAAGCACCCACGCTCAGGAAGAGTAGGATAGCTTGGTCGTGGATGCTCAGCGAGGGTTTCACCGTCACCAGGGGTGCTGGTACCCTCCTGGGGTAATTTTTTATTTGATTGCGCTACCATGGGGGCACCTGCACTTACCAAGCGAGATGCAGAGATAAACCTCTACTTCACGCTGGTATTCTGTGAGGTTGTGGTACCACCCCGGTTCGTGCCGGCATATCCGTGCGTCAGCAAAGGCTGCCGCGTGGCTCTACCACTGTTAAAAATTTGGGAAGTAAAATTAGGTAATAATTGTTTACTTATTGTATTATTACAATGGTGTTTAAATTATTTAAGCAAAATCCTATTATTCGGTAGCTAGTGGAGGCGGCACTCTATGATAGCAATTACCTGACTCCGCGCTATTTACTATCGATCGCTCGCTCATCGTGTTATCGAAGTGTACACTTAAAATGTTTCATAATTTTTAAGTGTACACTTCTGAAGTTTTATTAAAAAAATAATTATTCGAATACAATAGAACAAAAAATAATGTTTA